ATTACCATATAAAAATTTACCAGAGATTAAGCTTAACTGAATAAAAGACACTGAGGTTGGATGGTAGGGAACTACTTTATGGAGATAATTGCCTAATTTTAAATGCTGCTTCTTTTTTTTTCCACCATGCGAGTTTGTAAACTACCAAGTTTTCTCTTTCATTATTAGACATATATATATATATATATATATAAATAGACCTCACTTCTTGAAAGACCATGGGCTTGTGATGTGGACCTTACACGAGTTTCTCCTAGCATTTGTGCATGTATATCGTCATCGTGATTGTCATCGTTGTTTTTCGCGTGATTTTTACAGGACCTTATAGATGGCGCGCGCAATTCAACAGCCGCCCATGTCTTTCATGCCTTTCACAAATTCAGATGTTAGGTTAAGTCAAAAGGGTCAAAAATGTTATGATGTTTTATATGAATTTGTTTGATGCTCGCAAGGTCTGCACGGAGCGTCTAAATCTTGACGTCGTTATTTAAGTCATGTTCCCCAATAATTCTTGTTCTAATGTCATGTTCCTCAATTATTCTCTTAGATGTATCTGCCATGTTCTTGTTATGAGGATGATACTGCCATGTTCTTGTTATGAGGAAGATAATGTATTGTAGAGAGACCCTCTGGTCTTCAGTTTCTTGTGGAAAGTTACTATATTCTGCGGAGGACGACCCCTCTGTAGTACATGACAACACATGTAAGAAATCTAAAGGTCCCCTATGTATATAGGGTGGGCACTGGGCCGGGTCGGCCCACAAGCCCGCTCGCTCAACTCGATCTTGAGCTTTGCTCGGTGCGTAACGGGCCCAATTTGGTTAGGTACAGTAACGGTCTGCGGGACCATGCTGGGTCGGTCCACGCCGAATGCGAGCCAACGACCCGCTCAGCCCACAAGGCGTAGTGAGCAGGCTGGGCCTTCATATGAGTGGGTTGGCTCGCTTGTCCCGGCCTATGGGCTCGCATTTAGTTAGTAGTAATATTTTTTTCTTTAAAGTTTATTGTAATTTATTTTATTCTTGTATTTTTTTAACTAATAGAACAATATTATGCTACTTATTGATGTAAAACTTGTTCCGAACTGCATTAAATCTCTGTGTTTGCGATGGTTCTCTCTATAATTGTATGCAAATATACAATTACTTAATAAAATTATTTTTTTCAATATTTGTAATCATGTCATTGTAAGTTTGCTATTTACATATAATTCTTAAGTGTTAAACAATATTAAAAAACCTATTAAAAATAATTAAATATTAAAAAATAACAAAAATAATTAAGTTCGTGTTATGGCCGCACGTGCTTGGGCCTGTGAGCAGGCTAGGTTGGGCTCTAGGCCCGAGAATAGGTGGCAAAACATAGCTCGCTCGACTTGCTTGGGCGAAATTGTGGCTGGGCATCGCCAGCTGCCATGAGCCCGCATGGCGCAGCCCGCAGGACGAGCTAACAGACCGCGTTGCCCACCCCTACGCCTATGATGCACTTAGGGGTGGTAGGCATTGGGCGCGGGTCATGCCCATGCGCCCGCTCACTCAGCTCGCTCTTGAACTTGGCTCGACCTGGCTCAGAGCGGGACATCCTGATTTGTCTCGCTACAGTAATGGGTCGCGGGACCGAGCTGGGTCGATCCAAGCCAAATGCGAGCCAACAACTTGCTCGGTCCACAAGGCCTAGTGGGTGGGCTACGTCTACATGTGAGCAGGATGACTCGCTTGTTCCGGCCCATGGCTCGCATTTGGTTAGTAGTAATATATTCTTTCTGTAAAGTTTATTGTAATTTCTTTTATTCTTATATTTTTTAACTAGTGGATCAATATTATGCTATTTATTGATGTAAAACTTGTTCCGAACAGCATTAAATTATATGTGTTTGTGATGGTTCTCTCTGTAATTGTATGCAAATATACAATTTTACTTAGTAAAATTATTTTCTTTAATTTTTTGTATTCATGTCATTGTTAGTTTGCTATTTACATATAATTCTTATATGTTAAACAATATTGAAAAAACCTATTGAAAATAATTAAATATTAAAAACTAACAAAAAGATAATTAAGTGTGATAGGTGGGCCAACCCGTGTCATGGCTCGTCCCACATGTTCTCGGGCCCGCAAGCGGGCTGGGCTGAGCTCTAGATCCGGGAACAAACGACAAAACTCGACCCACTCAACTCACTGCAAGTCGTGGGCTGGCTCGCCTCTCGCCTCGCCCCTAAGCCTGCGTGGGCCGGCCCGCGGGCCGAACTAGCACTGCCCGTTGCCCACCTCTTGATGCACTGGGGATGTTTGAGATGAAGTTTTTGTAGGATATCCCACCTAAAGTTTGACGTTATATTCTCATTGATTCCTAAATTCAGGGAATTTCACCCTGTGAACCTTTTTTACCAGTGTGATTGTACACGCACATGAGAAACTTACCCCAACCTAAAAACTCTTGTTGTCACACAGCTATCACCATTGTCATCTCTTTGCATTATTATTATTATTATAACAAAAATGATTGTTTGTTGTCAGTTTCTCGTTGGCTGCTTTGTCTACCAAGTAAAACACCTCCCCACGCCGGAGCAACCCCCACCACGTAAAATAAAATAAAATAAAACAAAGTAATCAATTAATGTTTCCTTTCGCTCTTAAAAATGGAGCAAGGGCAACTTTTAATTTCAATACGCATGGTATATACAACAATAAAACTACTTTGTCTACCAAGTATCCAAAAGGTCGCATTAGAGACATACCTACATAGTTTATGGGACTTCCCCACCACGTAAAATAAAATAAAATAAAACAAAGTAATCAATTAATGTTTCCTTTCGCTCTTAAAAATGGAGCAAGGGCAACTTTTAATTTCAATACGCATGGTATATACAACAATAAAACTACTTTGTCTACCAAGTATCCAAAAGGTCGCATTAGAGACATACCTACATAGTTTATGGGACTTAC